TGGGGCAGAGAAGCCAAAGGAGCCGTCGTCCTCTCAGCCCAAGCTGCAACAGAGAGCCTCCCTTCCAGGAGGAGGAGGACACTGCCAGGAATGGGGAAGGAGGCCTCCCTGAGCCAAGACAGGCTGCGCCACCGCTTCCTGCAAGGGACAAGGGAGGGTAGACCTTGGCAGAGTGACTTTGCCCTCCAGCCTCCGTGAAACCCTTCCTCCTAAGGAACCCCAGGTCGGGGGGGAGGGGGGGGCTAAAGGGAAAGAGGCTAATTTGCATATTTCTTCTTCTTCTTCTTCTTCTTCTTTAAGAAAAACGTCCTGTAACAGAATTGCAATGTATTGTAAATGCCCCATGGATAGGCCCTTGTAGAGTAGACCCACTGAGCCGGTTGTCAGAGGGTGGCTTGTCACACCCGGGTGCTCTGAGAAGTCCAAGGGCGCTTAGGATCCTTTCCCTCACCCCCTGCCTTTTGTTGCAGACGGTCCTGGTCATCACCTATCATGAGCCCCAGAACCCAGAATACCAGGCCTTCCAGAGGCAAGTGATTCTGCGCGCCCAGAGGGACTTCCACGTGGAGCTGAATGACTCACTGGTAAGGCTCCCCCCCTGCTCTGCTTTTTCATTCCTGTCGGGGTGTCCTTTTGTAGGGGTGGGGGTGGGGGTGGAAGCATTGCACATCTGGAGCAAAATCCCGCTTCCCTGGCTGGAGCAAGGCAGAAGGGTTGGCCCCGTTCTCCAGGGTCAGGGTGCGAAATGGACAAAGAGGAGGTGGTTGGCAGAGCGCTGGGGAGCCGGGCATCGTGGTTCTGCTCGCAGGGGGTCCTCCCGCAGGGGCTTCCCTTGAGGAGTCGGCGTGAGCTGAAGGCCAGAGACGGGCGGGGGCCAGGGGGACGTGTACCTCCTCCGGGTGTAGCTTTTGTGCTTTACCCAGGGATGATGCCCCTTCTAGGCCAGTCTGTTAGGATCCTGGAGGGGCACGTGTGGTACACAGAGGCTGTGTGTTGTGTGTGTGTGTGTGTGTGTTGTGTGTGTGTTGTGTGTGTGTGTGTGTGTGTGTGAGAGAGAGAGAGAGAGAGAGAGAGAGAGAGAGAGAAATGGTTCTCCTTCCCTCCTGCAGCTTCCCTTAGCCTTAAAGCTGGACTCTGAGGCAGTGGTTGAGGCAGAAAGGTCCCTTGCACCTTATTTTCGGGCTGTGGCATGGGGACTGAGCCACTGTGGCATGTACTGTGGTCATCCCTGGGATTGACTGCTGCAGAGAGGTTGGGTTGGGGCTGCCATCCATCCAAGAGGATGCAGAACCTGCAGGTGGTCCAGAAGGCCATGGCCAGAGAGAGGGCTGGCTGGCAGACCTGGTTCCCTCCTGAGAGAAACCAGCTGCCCTGCCTGGGAGTTTCCTTTCTCTCTAATCCCCCCCCCATACACACACACACACAGACACACACCCTTGGTGCTCACATGCCAGAGGACATCACCCTCAGCTGCAGCTCTTCCCCTCCTCTTTGGTGTGTGTTGCCAAGAGCGTGGCTGGCTCTCGATTGGTCCCCGTCCTGCCCCCCTGTCCCCCGTCCCCCCCCCAGGTGTCTCTGTGGAGACTTTCTTCTTAGAAATCTGCCAGGAGGCGTATTAAGAGGAGAGGTATCAGGGAAGCATTTATGAATGCCAGCAGGGAGATCAGTGCACACGCTCTCCGAGGCGCCAGTCCAGACGTCCGACACTCCAGGATGCATCCGACAGCTTCTCTACGTAGATGGATACACAAAGCACCGTAAATAAGTCATTCGTGCGAGTTTTCCTTTCAAGTGCTCTCGCGCACATATTTTTTCCCCAGAGTATCTTTATTTACAGGATGTTTCTCAAATTGTAACCATTTCCTTCTACGTCTGACCTGTCCAAAAGGAAAATGATGGATAGAATGTATCCGTGTCCTTGAGCCTGTTTACTCAAAGGATCTGATGCCTGAATCCATGGCACCTTGAGGCTCCTTTGTAGAGGCGGGAAGCCCTCTGGGTCTTCACAGGTGGTCGGGACTGGCTGTTTCCCACCAGACGTCGAGGTAGCTAAACAGACGGGCAGAAGAGGGTGCAGGAGTGAGATAGGAGCGGCTGCCAATCCAAGTGAGCCCCACCTGAAATTTCAGGGCCGGCCACGCACTTCCTCTGTGGCTATGGGAGTAAGATGTGGGAGTTGAACCGGCAGGTGGAGGAGAGGATCTTATCCCCGCTCAGCCCTGGTTGGTCCTGATTGAGGAAGCTGAAAACGACGCTTGGCAAGAAGTCCTTTCCCACAACCCTGCTTCATCTGTCAAGTGGAACTCTCTGCCACCAGAGTGAGCTGTGATGGCCAGAGAGAGTGGCCAGGTCAACAAGCACATGGCTGATTCCTGGAAGGCCGGAAATTCTGCAGATTTTGGGCAAAAGGCCAGGGTTGCTCTTTAAATGTTTTGTTTATACTCCAATCGCAAGAGCAACTCCATCTGGAGATTTCTGGGATAGAAACTTTTTGGAGAGGAGTTTGGCTGCCCCATGATAGAGAGAAAAGGGGGCTGGCACCAGGCGTGGGGGGAGGGGTGCACGTGTCATTCTGGGAACCCTGGTCAGGTAGGTTGCCAGTGAGATAGATGTTGGAGGAGCCTCTGAAGCCACCTCCCTAGAAGCGCTCCCGAGTCTGGCCCAAGAGAGGACGGCAGCCCTTGGGCAGTGTGGGGAGAAGAAGGGGGCTGCAGGTCCACCAGGCCGTGTTTGGGGCCAAACAGTGTCTGCCCCAAAGACCCAGGCCTCCAGCAGAGCCACTCCTGCCAGAGGTTCTGCACGACGGCCCTTTCAGTCGTCCAAAGGGTCAGCCGTTCTCCTGTCTGCAGAGAGAGGTGAGCTGAGAAGCATCGGGCGTCCGCAGGGGCAGAGCTCTAGACTTCGGGTGCCCCCTAACAAAGAAGAAAAGTTACTTATGGGCATCAAGAGTCAGAGGAGAGAGCACCACATGTGAACAGGCCAGGTATGGAGGGACATGAGAAGTGGTGTTTGCAGGCAGAAGGTTTGGGGGGGGGCAGCCCAATACCAGGCAGAGTTCAAAGGGATCAGAAAACTCCTGGCGCCATGAAGGTGGTGGGGGGGAACATCCCATTCGCCTGGCACACCTGTCTCCAGGAAGGGAAGGGCAGCCCTACCCTTGCAGAGGAGCCAGGCTGGGGGCAAAGACCACGGCTCCCTCTGTCCTGGTCCCCCTCTCCCTCGGTCCCCTGGCTGGCCGGCCTCGTGTCACCTCACAAGGTCAGCAGGGACTGTGATCCCATCCAGGGCTGTGCAGAAGGCCCTCCGGGTCGACCGGCTGGCGCTCCCTTCCAGAAAGTGGAATGGTGGCCTGCGGGTGATCCCACTTGTTTCTGTTTTCCGTTCGACGAATGCAGCCGTGACTCTATTCTCCCTATTTCTGAAGCAGAAAATGGCAGCATATTATTAGAAAGTGGTAATTCTCAATTCGGACAGCATGCCTCGGGGGGGGCGGGGAGCAGGAAGCCGGGCGTCTCCTCGCCCCCACCCCTTTGAGTCCTTCCATTGGAAAAGAAAGCTGTCAAGGGAGACGTTGTGTGGTGGTGGTTCAGGGAGTGGGGAGAGGAAGGGAGTACAGAGCATCACGCTAGAACCGGCTGATCATTGGGGTCCAGGGCAGGCACTGCCAGGGGGCTGAGCGAGGCCCCCAACTTCCCCAGCTGTTCTCATGGAACCCCAGGCCTCTCTGTTAGTGGACAAGGCTGCCTGCTCTGCACCCCCAGTCCTCACTCAGCCCCTGGACTCCAGGCGTCGTTTACCTGCCCAGTCCCCTGGCCCCTGTACGTGACAGAAGAGAGGGGAGGGAGCCACGTCCTCTCTTTTGCCTCAGGCGGCCATGTGCCTTGGGACGGCCCTGCCGAAAGGCGCCCAAAGTGGCCCCATCTGCTTCCGTGCATGGCTGGGGAGTATCATCTCTGGCCCAGCTGCGCCCAGCCACCCTAACCGAGGCATCTCTCTCTCTCTATCCTGCGTGCAGGAAGCAAGGGACCAACACGGGGTCAAAACAAGGACAGGTCTTGTGGAAAGGTAACCTTAGGTACAGCCTCAGGATTGTGGCCTCAGCAGAGAACGATTCAATAAAGGCAGCCCCGCGGCCAGGAGTACAGGCCAAGGAGAGGGACCGCTGGGAAGATCCTCCTTTGTGTGGCCGCTGTCAGTCAGAAGTGACTTCAGAGCTTAGAGCTTGGATGAGGACTTTTGTTGGGGTCTGTTCTGGGGGGTGATCTCTGGAAGAAGCTCCCCATGTACCTCTTGGGCCCTATTGATGGGGTCATTTCTTTGTTTTACTCGAGTTACGTGCTGTACCCTGAGAAATGGCCGGTGTGGATTCCCAAGTTGAGAATCTCGGTTGGACAGGAAAAAGCAGACTGGGGGCTTTGCTGTCTCTATCTAGGCAGGAGATTTTGCCAGGTGCTCCAAGTGGAAGCCAGAAGCCTGCAAATAAGTTTACCTGTTTCTTGGTTTCTTGTTTCTGGAAGAAGGTGGGGCTCTATCATCTATAAATTAAGTGCAGGGCAGTGTCAAGCAAATGAACCTGGCGCCTGGACTGGCACCCACATCTGCTGATGGAAGGGCATCAACCCACCAGTTGCTAATGTCTGCTTGTTATTGTTTATTCGTTGTATCCAACTCTTTGTGACCCCATGGACCAGAGCATGCCAGGACCTCCTGTCCTCCACTGCTGCCTCCTGAAGTCGGGTCAAATTCATGCTGGTC